TCATACTACGTAATAAAACTTCTATTCGTATCGAAGCCATTCAGGAGCTGAAAAATGAATTTCTAGACAAAGGAAGCAAATACAGGAGTAAAATCGAGTCTGTAACGCAAAAGCCGTGGTTCAAAGACACCTGGGAAGTGAACAGAAGCGTTATTACTCTTATTGCCCGGTGCAGATCATTTCATATATGTTCACTACCTCACTTAATTGATAAAAACATCATTGAACATACCAATTGTGAGTGTGGATGGACTTTTAGGAGCACAAAACATATCCTGTTCAATTGTCCAAAGTTCAATTGTACCAAAAGGAATCGGATCATTTACTAGCCAAATTATCGCAAATCGATTGTGAATTCTCAGCTGATTTGATTCATAACCGAGCTTTCGATTTGAAGCATATTAAAACATTTAAAGAAAAAGACAATTTTCTGAGAAGCACATACCAAAGCCTATAGGAGCATGAAGTTTACACCAGTAACTACAAACGAGGCATAAGGATTGGAGAATGGCGTAAGGGGATAACCTTTTCCCCCGGAGCCATTACAGAACAGAACAGATTCTTGCCGCGTTTCGTAAGCAGGAGCTAATATGGCCTTCACACACAAATTGCAATGATGTATATACATAGATCAAGCATTCCTATACTTCTGCTGTAGCAGCGAGTGAAGCCGGAAATTGGCAGTTTAAAACAGAGTGAGAAAGTTGATTTGCTCCATATATGTAATACTCATAAACTTCTATATAACTACTAGACCGCTAACTCCCTTAGGCTGCGTTCAGATTCCTTACCCGGGTGCACTCTAATACAAGAAGTGCTATAGTATATGTGACATATACTATAGTGTTTCTAGTAACAGAGTGCACCTAGGTAGGGAATCTGAACGCACCCTTATATAGTGCTATGTAAAATTGACCCTGAACAGTACATATTCACAAACTTCTATATACTAACTAGATTTCTGACTCTGGGCTGCGTTTAGATTCCTCATCCGGATACATTCTATTACTAGAACACTATAGTATATGTTACATATACTATAGCACTTCTAGTACTAGAGTACACTCGGGTAGGGAATCTGAACGCACCCCGGGGCGATGGGTTGGTGGTGGGGATAAGCGCCATATTGGGGTGCGTTCAGATTCCTCATCCGAGTGCACTCTATTACTAGAAATACTATAGTATATGTGACATATACTATAGCACTTCTAGTAATAGAATACACCCGGGTGGGGAATCTTAACGCAGCCTTGAATGACCCTGCTGATATGTGTACTATCTCTGTGTGTGCACCACGTGATCAAACACGACACTACTCAGGAAAAGTACTTCCAAGTGCTTAACTTTTTGTTTTAGTAAACAAAAAATCTGAAAACAAAGTGAACAAGTAACGCAGTGAACACAATAACCATGAACAATAACAAATCTTGTATAAAGAATTGCCAGATACGATACAAACCAAATTGTGCTATACATTTATTCAAGTAAGTATTGTTTGTAATGTTTATAAAAATATGTAAAATTCAATTAAATTAAGAAATAGTATTTCGAGATGTATCAGTCCAGGATGTTCTGGAAAGTTATTTTGGACATATCTTGAGAAATCTTAAAAAATCTCAAAACATATTGTGCAGATGCTCTGATTCTAAAATTATATTTTAACATAATGCTACAGATTTCCTTTCAATGATGAAAACCGTCTTGCTAAATGGATTACTGCTGTTAAAAAACCAAACTGAAAGCTAAAAAAAATACAGTAAAATATGTAATTTATATTTTTGTAAAAGCGACATAATAGAAAGTTTAGGTTATAGACATGCCTCTGTACATCCAAATGCTGTGCCAAAAGATTGCTTTTCAAGTGTCATAGAACAGACTGATACAATGTTAAAATTGGAAGAAGCCAATAGTAGTAGTAAATATAGTAGTGAGAATAATAAATCTGAGAGCTATAGCAAGACATCTATCACGAAGAAAAATATTTTACTTGAACACAATTATTGCAACAAAAATACTAGCGCTATAACAAAAAGTAATGAATTGAGTACATCTGTTATTGAACCACATAGATTAATTGAAAGGTCAATTTTGTATGCGAAGAAAAATCGAATAGCTGTTGAAATCAATCCAAAAGAATATGCCATTATGCCTGTGAAACAATATGTTACAAATAGCTCAACAAGTATTGACTCTTCAGAAGAGGAAAAAGATTTATCTGAAAGAGAACAATTAAGAAGCAATTAGAAAGTTTGGAAAAATTAAAGTGTTAGAAGAAAACATTAAAACAACAGTTAAAAAGATGTAATACAAAGATTGCTTCAATGAAAGAAATGTTTAACCAATTGCAACAGAAGAAATTGATTGATAATAATGTTTTGCAATTATTAAGAAACCATTTTGAAGGTACCACGTTCCATATTTTACAAAATGAAATAAAAAATGGAAAATGCAAAAGAAAGGCTGTTCGTTACATAGATGAGGTAAAAGAGGTTAGTTTTATCTTTGCACTATGTCTCGCCAAAAGGCTTATGCATATTGTCTGTAATGGTTTCTTTCATTTATGCTTTCTTTTCTTATTAAAAATTTTGCATTCTTGCATCTGTAACGAATGTATATCCTTTACTTAATAAAAAGAGAATTGAGTTATAGAATACTATATTTGCATGTTTTCACTAATTTGCAACAATTTCATCTATTGTAATTAATAGCGTAATGTTAATGTAAATGTCGTGTAAATGTTGGTTTACATCAATGTCAGTTCACTAATAATGTAGTAACTATATTTATATGTACCACATTAATGAAAACCTAATCCATGTCAATAAAAATATAGTAATCGCACAAGTGCAAATTGATGCATTTATCATAAAAGCATGTTATCTTATTATTGTTACTAATAATGTTATTTTTATTCTGTTTTTTTCTCTTAATCGTTTCTTCATATTTTCTTGTATGCTTTGCTCTCAGTGTAGTATGTTGCTATCGAACAATTTTTTTCAATTATCTTAGAAAGAAATTTGTATGGTATACTATAGCTTGATAATTACAATTGTTAAAAAAAGAAAAATGTTTAACTAAAATAATTATATATTAATTTACATTTTTGTTTTTATTTTTTTTAGAACTGTTAAAAGTTTATATACAGTGTATATTCTTTTATTATTCATATATTCAGATGCTCTAATTCGCATAACACTAATTTCTTCACATATTTTCATTATAGATATATTATTCAAATTTCATAAACACTATGAAAAGAACTGTTAGATTAATGGAAACATATTAACATGAATATCATTTTTTCAAGTAAATATTAAATTCATGAAATTGACACAATAACTGTCGTAAGATAAAAAAATATCTATGATGATATAATTTTAATATATAAAAGCATTTTACTATTTCTTAGCAGTTACATGTTATTAAAAGTAAAAAAATATTATGTGATTAAAAAATATTATGTTATTAAAAAGAAAAAATATATAATTTTTTATTATAATATTTGTTATAGCTAATGCAAAGTACTTAGCTGTTTTATTAATGTAAATAATGTAAAGCATTATATTTATTGCAGGAAGTTTTTTTATTTGCCAGATCCATCAACCTTGAAAGAGCTACTATGTTCTGTTAACGCAGAACCTGGATTCCATGAAGACGTGTTGTGAGAATTACAAAAAATTCCATTGGATGATCGATATTGTAATCTCGTATTTGATGATGACACTTAGGAAACAATTAATTTGGGACGCACAAAAACAGCAAATGATAGGCATGCCTTATTATGGAAGTATGTTGCTATTAGGGAAAATTGATTCAGAGGATACAATTGCAACAAAGGCATTGACTTTTATGCTTGTTAATTTGAACAAGAAATGGAAGTGGCCTATTGGCTATTTTCTTAAAAGCAGTAGTGATGATGCAGGCTGAGCTAATAAAATCTACGTTAATATTGGTTGATAAGTATAATATTAGAATGTGTAGTTTAACATGTGATGGAGCCAGTGTTAATTTAAGTTCTTTACAGCAACTGGGTTGTTTGTTATATGTAAATACTTATGAAAATTTAGTTTGTTCATTTCCACATCGGACAAAGAACTACGAAGTTTTTGTTATTTTAGATTCATGTTACATGTTAAAACTTGCGAAAAATACTTTAGTTAGACTTGGTGAAATAAAAAATAACATTATATTAAATGGCAATATATCGTCGAACTACATAATTTACAGACGCGTTTGACATTAAAATTTAAAAATAAATTATCTGTACACACAGTGGATTACTTACGAAATAATAAAATGAAAGTAAAGTACGCTGCTCAGACTCTTAAGCCTGATCTACAATATGCTCTTTGCATTATGTTTCTTGTCTTCTGCCTTTTTCTGGCTTAAAGCTTAAGGTTTGAGTCAGAAAGAGATAAAGAAGCAAAGAGCATATTGTAGATCAGGCTTTAGTTCTGTTGCTACGTTCTAAAGTTTCTTATGAAAAAAAAAAGCTTAGGCTGAGTTCCCATTGAGCGCGTCACGCGTCGCGTCGTCTACTACGCCACGAGTTAACCAATCAAATCCTCTAATTAGGACGACGCGACGCACGACGCACTTCTTCCAATGGAATGATTTGATTGATAAACTCGTGAAGCAAGCAGACGACGCGACGCGTGACGCGCTCAGTGGAAACTCAGCCTTATGTCTCCTTCACACAGGCGTTCGAAAACACTGAAAGTCCACGACGGAAAGTGGCTGTGGTGGATGGGCTTGGTGGGGTTAGTGGAGTTGGTATCGAGAGGAGTTTTCGAATAGCCATGGAAGAATGCTCAATGTGACATACTACATGTGTGTTGTGCCTACATATGTTGTACAAAATGATCGAAAGCGTATTTCGACATTAGCTATAATTGCTTCTCAGCAAAATAATAATAAATTAATAAATTTAGTAATTAATTAATTAATTAATTTAGTAATTATTAATTTATAATTTAGTTATCTGGAAAGTTAATTGATTATATATTCCTCGGTCCGAGAACTCGGATCGATTTCTAGCATCGTGGGCACCAGGCCTAAGGAAATTTATAAACTTATTTATTACTCCTTACCTTTAAC